CAAAACACTCGATTTAACAAACTAAAAGCAGAATTGAATCAATACAGACGATCTAAAAAAATTTCAGAAACAAAAGTGCGGAAAATTTTAAATCTAGAACGAGACTCAAAAACTTTTGAAAACTTAAGAAAATCATAGATTAATTATAATTATCCTACTCTGATACCAAATGTAGTTTGTATAGATTGAGATTATGAAATGAAATCAGAGTTGGAATTGATTCTTGAACTCAAGAGTAAATATAATCTGGATGGTCGATTAAAACTTCTAGAGGTTACAAGAGAATATGTAGAGTAAGAATAGCGAAGGATTAAAAATTACTCTAACTCTATCACCTATCCCTATTAATAGGAATGACAAAAGTTTACAAAAAAAAAAAAAAAATACACAAGGGCTAAAATAGTTACGCTTCAACATAAAGATGTGCCCTTATGCAATACATACAACAGAGACTTCGAAACTAACAAAAAACTAAAGGACACTTTGACACCTCACAAATAAATTTGACCTCAACAGTTTGAGTCCATAGACTTTGCAGTTTGATACCATGGCTATTGTTGCAAAAATATAGATGAGACAATATGGGCTTCCACCGGAAGCAATACAGTATTGGAGCAGTTGTTCTGGAATATGTGTAAAGCGTATAATGTGTCTGATTTTTATACACGTTTGAACAGCTTACAAAATGAGGTGAATGACAATGATCTTCACTAGTATGTAAATATTGCCATTACAAAATGGGTAAAGGCTTTTTTTTTCCCTAAAGTACGTTTCAATGTGAAATTCATTGACATTCCCGATGTCATCAATTAGATAAGAACAAACAGGCATGAGTTACCAATAACGACAAGAATTCAAATGGTCCATGACTCGATGCAAGGAGAGTATGTTCAACGTGTTTCATTCGGAGGTAATAATGAAATTTTATTATACATTATCCAATCATAATTTTTATTTGATGATTTAGTTAATTTCACAGGGGAATTTCATGGTCTTCTGATCCGTTATGCACTTAAGGTGCTTTAAAAAATATTTATCCACTCCGATGGTTGCAGGGTTAGGCATATTGTTGGTGACAGCTATGTAGTGAGTAAGTATTTAACCACCAAATCCGTGCAATTAGAATGTGGGATTTGTACTTGGGGGGAATGGCAAAAATCTGGTATACCTTGTGATCATGCTATAACATCACTACAAAGGCATGAAATTGAAAAAATCCAGCAAATGGCAAAATTTAAAGTTAACTACTGCAGTGTATCGAAATGCTTTTCAAACTGAGACGGTGAATCCTATTCCAATCCTTATGCATTGGGAAATACCATTTTCAAGTGTTTCCGCCTTACCTCCACAACAATTCACTTGAATTGTAATGTATGGATCATAATGAATATTTGTTTGTATTCAGTTCTATGTTAACCTTAGCTTTGGTCTGTTGGCGTTGTTTACTTTTTAATAAATAATGTTTACCTTTTAATAAATAATGTTTACGTTTTAATAAATAAATGTAATGTATGGATCACAATGAATAACATCCTTGGATTCCCGACAAACAGCTCTGCGAACTGGCAAACAACTCTGCCAACTGACAAACAGCTCTCTGCGAAATTGAAGGGTGTATAAATTGTTATAGATGATTGTTGAATTTTTGGTAAAGAGCTACAATTGTTTTTGAATTTTAATATGATTTCATCTTCAAATTTCTATATATTTCTCGTGAAGTGAAGTTGATTGTTACTATTGTGATCCGATAGACCATTTTCTTGCACCGTCACCAAACATGAGAGCGCCATATTTGTATGCTGATACGTTGCAAAAAAATGCAATGGGCTGAAGAACAACAAAAAATAGATAGATTCATATCGAGCTCTCATTGTACGTCGTGACGTCATTGCGGCAGAGGGCAAAGAGGTTGAGGAAAGGATGCAGATTAATAAAAATAAAATAAAAGATCATGAAGAATGAATAAAAAAGACTAAGATGACTATCAAAATGACTAAAAATGGCTTGTTGAGAACGTGTAACATCCCATAATCCAAGACAAAAAAAATTCATTTTTAATTTAATAATTCATAAAGAAAATTATTGAAAACACCATTGAGTCATCCCATATCATAAAAACCATAAGTCATATCTCTCAAAACAAGTCATAGTAATATCAAAGTATAAATCCCAGGAACATCAAGTGCGGAAAATAGTGGTGTGATGAGCTGCAGTCATGTTGACTCCTTTTCTTTCGAAGAAGAAGTACCTGAAACCAAAACTGTAAACTGTAAGCACAAAGCTTAGTGATCAACTACTAGTGGGCCGACATTGGTTCCTTCGACCCACTACTTATGTGACTCATATATCACTATGGAAGGCAACTCACCTCGTAACTCACTTCTACTCGAAGGTAACTCACCTCGTAAAGTTAAATATTGAACCTTTACTACTTATGGGACTCATATATCACTATGGAAGGCAACCCTAGGCCTAGAAACGAATTTGAGTCTTAAAGATCCATTCTTAGGACTAAAAAAGTATAAAACATCACTACACTAGATCTAAGCATACTTGAGGAAAGTTGTGAACTTTATAACTTTAAAGAGTCCCAAAAGATGATGCTATCCCGGATCTATGAGCTCAAGATACTTAAGTTCTTCTTCACTTGCTTCTCCTTCCTTCTTTCAAACTTCTAAGCTCCAAAAAAAGCTTCACAAGGCCAAACACACACAAAAATGAGAAAAGGGAGTCTATCTAGGGTTTCTGAGGAAGAGGGGCTGGTAAGGAGGCTAGGGTTTGAGTCATAAGGTTGTATTTATATGGCTTAAACCCTAAAAATTACGGTTTAGAGTCTGCTTGCGTACGCTGCATGTATGCACCTCCGCCCCCCGCATCCAATGTGACTCTACACCCCGCGTACACCAGATTTATGCCTAACGTACATCTTCAGGTAGCCCATTATTATCGTCCCACTTGCTAAGCCCACTCAATAATGCATTAATCCTTCCTTAGTCCAAACAAATAAATTAAAAATATTTTTAAAATAAATATTACCTCAATTGATGAGCGTTACAGAAGGATGCATAAATGATAGATCTTGGGCATGCAAAGGATCGTTTCGAAGATAAACTAAGAATTAGGGACAACTATATAACAATGGAGAAAGATAAGTATACATTGCAATTCCCTTAAGTTAATTATTGTTGTTGTACGTTTATTATGTGTTTTTGGTTTGTTATATGTATTATCTTTGAGTTCAAGTAAAATTAATTATACTAGTAATGATGTACTAATATAATCATAACATAACCAATTAGTCTTAAAATAGTAATCCAACTACACAATCAACCTTAAGTTGCCTAAATAATTTCTTCCATCCTATTATGATAATTAAATCCGTAAATGGAGCTGTCTGGTGTGTCTCCAATTCCACCCCCGATGCAAGCAATTCCTTGAACATGTACACCTCCACAATCTCCTCTACCTCCTTCTTCCTGCTGCGAGACGTTTAGGTTTCCGTCTATTAGGAAAATGCTTCCAATATGAAAATTTGTCTAGTTCACTTAAAATACTATCACCCAAGGTTTTGAAACAGCTGTTATCCCCATAATTTTTACAGTAACCATATCATTTAGTTGAATCGTATATGGTCACTTTCTATGTAATGAGATTCAACTCGGTCAAAAATCAATGAATTTGTGGGACATTGATGGGAATTAAAACCTACATAAAAATGTAAAATTATATATATATATATATATATATATATATATATATACACACACACACACACACACACACAGAAATTTAAAATTATATATAAAAATTTTAAAATTATATGATATATTAATAAATATACTAACTCGATCAATATCCTTCCAATGAGGTCCGTCACCTTCCCTGCTGCTATTCGCCTCAAGTAAAGGTTTTTTTAAGCTTCCAAAGTGGTGCCTTGAGGATTAATAATCGTCCACCTAGCAGTCAATGGATTGATTTCCTTCAAAATTGATGTCCATATTACCAAATGTTGTGTGTTATATGATAATAAGTTACATTTTGTACTATGAATTATCCAAAACGTTTTATGCAATGAAATAAAGGATATATGTTACCGCAGAGTCCAACCACCCAAACCCACACATGACAAGTAAAGTTGCCCAAAATTCCCAATTCATCTCAAAACCTTTATAATGCTTATGTTAAAAAAAAGCATTGTCTCTCGTTCTTTCACCATAATTTCCATAATTTCTCATCAGTAGACATATAACAGTCCAATAGTAATTGTATGTTCTCTAAAGTACTGTAGTTCTTCGGTTTTCTTCCTTTTTTGTTCTTCACTGGTTCTATGGACGGAACATATAAAATCAAAATGTTAATTAATTTTTAATGAATATATAATTTATAAAGAGAAAATAATTTATTTAATACTTGTCTTATCGTTAATTTCAACAACAATCGGTGGCGACTCCACATACATAGTGGGTGACTCCGAATCCAAACCAACAAAAAATGTTTCTTGGCCATCCACATTATCGATATTATTCACACCAAATTGTCTTTCATTTTCCCATTTGTAAATTTTCTTCATAAATTGCTCGATTGTGGTTGCCAAATGATTAACAACACCCATTAACTTGTCTATTTTACTGTCTTGTGAGGTGTTGTGGTCTGCTCCCCGAACATGAAAGAGTGAGATGATGTAATTTGTTTGCTGAAACTGAGAGAGTTGAGGTGATAGAGGCCGTTTTTTAGGGGGCCTCTGTTGTATCGGTGGAGAATCCACTCCGTGCAAAGTCCAAGTCAAATAATGCGAATAGAATGACAATTCGATCTCGAAATTCGTTGCTTCAAGAGCACGTTGAATGTTGTTTTCCTGTAAAATAAAAACATTAACTTTAACTACATATAATTTTGAGATTTTTTTTACTATATATAACTTTATAAGGAATGTATAACTATACAAGTGACACGTCTAATATATGTAAACATTTCTCGACAGTTAATTGTGTTTTTATTCTTCATGCCCTCATTCTTGGAAATTCATTTGCGATGTGATGCGCATATCTCAAAGCTTCTGGAAATGTCTCCAAAATCCATACCTAGTATAACTTTAACATGTTATGATTTTTCAATGATTATAAACACTTCAAAATGTGTAATATTAATTACACATAAAACTAACCTTCAATGGAATGTGAAAATCGGTCACTGTATACTTCAACATCTTCACAGAACCCATATTGGTCTGATCTCGTAAATATCTGTAGATTTTCCCAAACCAGAGTCGTAATTATGTTTCACTATACCTCCATAAAAACGTACCCCACGCAAACCTGTCGTACTCATTATAATTAATATAAATCATCTTCTAGTTATAAATAAATAGTAAATTTACTACCTGGTCCAATTATATAGATTATCAGCGAGCTCATACACTACCGACAGAAAGCACACATATGTATCACGTCCTATGAGACCTTTCAACTAAAACAAGATATTCATAATCATTATCGCATCATCATCGCTACAAGTCAAGAATGTTGTCTCTTTTATGTAGTTTTCTATATTTTTCAGTCGTAAATCTTCATCTCGCATTTGGGAACAACCGATTCTGTAATGCAGATTTTGTGTTGTGTTTTGTATTGATTACATCAACATAAGATCCAAATCTCAAATCGCTAATCAAACAAAATTCAGTTTCACCATATTCCACCACCCTGCCTTGTAACTCGAAACGAAACCTCTCAGCCCTGGCTACCAGCACATCACAAACCTCATGCAACATCATCAAATGACAGAGCATCGTGTCACCATTTAGGGTGGGCATACCAATGAAGATCCCAAACGGTGTCTCTCGAAATAATTCAAGTCGCCTACTATTTAGTTTTGGAATGAACTTCCTCAAAACAGTCCCCACCACTCCTTTAAAAGTTAATTCTGCAGGCCATCCACGCAATACTATGCTGCAAAAGATAAAACATATATGAAAAAAATTTAAAAAATAAGATTGAAATGCCCTTCTTCCTAATGATAACACATTTGCTTACAAATTGTATAACTGTTTCGCATTTTAATGGAGTATGTAACTCAAAATTGAAAAAAATAATAATAATACCGAATTCTGCATATAAAATTAAAAAAAAAAAAAACTGAAGAATTCTGCAGAGATGAATGTCGATCAGCAGAAGTTTCCTTTGCGGATCTATTCTTCAGTCATACAGCTCTACGGATCTATTCTTCGGAGGAAAATAGAATTTCATGGCAAAAATTGGGCAAAAAATCGGGATTCACTAATCAATTAAAGTATCATACACCCTAACAAACTATCATACACCATAACAAACATATAATGAATTCAAAAATCGGGCAATTACGGTTTTATACAATTTCAAAAGGAGGGGAAAAAACTTACATGTGTTCCATAGCCATTTGGATAACACATCTGAATGACCGATTCATCGTGTTCGATTTACCTCCTTCCTCTTTCCGCAACAATCTTCCGCAATTAGGGTATTAGGAATGGGTTTGTTTTGGCAATTTTCCAATTTTACCCGTTATTCGACTGTTCCTTTGTGATTATTAGTGATCTGCATAAATGTTAAATGGATCCATAGAGCCACCTTTGCGGAACCATTATACCCACCATATGTTTTGTTATTTAGTGATGCCACGTCATTTCCGCGGTACTATTCTTCTTTCTGCAGAGGCTTAAAGGGATCCGCAAAGCCCCCTATGCGGATCTCATGGTTATTTTTCAAAACTCACATTTTCATGGTTAAATGCTTAAAACACCCCCTCATTTTTGGTTATTTCATGAATTTTCTCAAATATGTTTTTGGTTATTTCATGAATTTTCTCAAATATGTATTAGTTCACAAACCGCAAGTACAACATCACACAACGCCACACAAAGCATCACAACTTTGTCTCTTGAACTTGCAATTGACAAACATTGAGCACCCAGGTTTAAGCTTTTGTGATATGATATTGATATTCGGTTTATGTTTTCTTGATTCTGCCTTACAATAGCAATATGTTTTTTGTGAAAAGGTTTCCTCTTACTTTGCAAAATAATGGAATCTTGAAGTTAAATTAGTTGTTTGTAAATTTCTTGTATCATATATGGTATGAATTCTTTCAGTTTGATATGATTTTGTTCACACATTTGATTTATCTTTCATTTCTTGCATGAGGGGTTAATCTTACTTTAATACTGGAATTTTTTTCATGATGATTCCTACAAATTAATCATTCACAAACCAGATATTTTGTGTTCTTGTTATTTAATACATGAGCCCCCAAGGCGCATTTTAGAGGATTAGAGAAACATATTTGAGAGGCGTTGAAAAAAAGAGAGAAACATATTTGAATTGGGAAATTTAATGTAATTATGATCACAGTTGAATATTTTGGGGAATTTTTATAATTTAAACTTAGGGAAATATCTGAATCGTGAAGTGAAAAAGGTTGAGACCTCATCCAACTCCATACATGCAACTAAAAGAACCTTTTTAGCTACACTTTTGTTGGAAATATCTCTATATCCATATCACCTTGATTTTGTGCCTTTAACTTTTAAATGTATAAATCAGTGTGCTTAGCTAAAAATGGGTTAAATAAATAAATGATGATGTCAAACTAATGTATTAAATAAAAAGGCTTTTATTTCGTTTATTTAATAGTTACATTATTATATATTAACATGGTTTTATAGATACATTTATTACACCATTTGATGTTCCTCGAATCCATTTTAACTCATACACCTTATTACAATAAAGCCTTTCAAGGACTGCTTGTCCAATTCTAGCTAAGAAACGTATTTACAGTAGAAAAAGAAAAAAACAAGAAAAAAACCCCTACCAAAAAAAAAAAACATATCTTTGTCATCCTATTATTTGATAATTTGTATTCAATTAAATATTATATTTATATGAGATGATATTATTTGATACTATGCTTTTTGGACCCTTCAAAATTGTCACCTGAATTAAGTTGTTTCCATGTAAGTTAAAATTTAGTCCGTACCTAAGAGTCCTATTCATTTATCAATAACTCTTTACCAACTCTAGTACTGTACGGTGAAACAGTTTTAAATAAATATGGTACTCATAAATACTCACTTTAAGTAAATATTGAATCACAATAAATCCCTTTGACGCACTGCTTCTCCAATCCTAGCAAAATAATCAAAACTTAAGACATCGTAAACACACAATTTCTTTTCTTTTTTCTTATATAATAATAATACTAACAGACTAATAAAATAAAATTAATATATCATTTTCACAGGGTACTTATCAACGGAATCTTCCCAAGGATTATCAGTCGATGGTGCGACGGTTCGAACAGCCACCCAGACGGCGCTGTTGCATTTGAGCCCGCTTCCGAAGGCGATTTGCCAAACCCGATTCCCTTTCTTAATTCTCCCTTTGGCTTCTGTGTAGGCCAATTCGTACCAAATCGAGCTTGATGATGTGTTCCCGAATCGGTGCAACGTCATCCGTGACGCTTCAACGTGCTCCTCCGTCAGCTGCAAATTCTTCTCCATTTCGTCGATCACCGCCCTCCCGCCGGCGTGGATGCAGAAATGATCAAACGCCAGCTTAAAATCCGGTAAATATGGTTTGATTTTTGAGTTTATGAGTTTTCTGGCGAGGAGGTTGACGAAAAATAAAAGCTGTTCGCTGATTGGAAGTACGAGTGGGCCTAGTGTGGTGATGTTTGACTTCAATGCGCCGCCGACGACCATCATTAAGTCTTTTGAAAGCGAGACTCCGGTGTTTCCTGCGTCGTCTTGATCTTGGTAAACGCATTTGAAAGCAGTGTCGTTGGAGCCGTAGTGGGTACGGACGACGTGGAGGAGTTTGTATTTTGACCGGCGTTTATCGGCGGACTTGTTTGATAAAAGCACGGCGGCGCAACCGACTCGGAAAAGACAGTTTGGGATCAGCATTGACTTTTTTATTACCGAAATACCAGTTTTGGGTGATATTCTCTGTACTGACGACCACCGCGTAGGTATTCCGGTGAACTTGTAGCATATCTTTTGCTAAATCAACGGCGATCACACCGGCGCTGCAACCCATCCCGCTCAGATTAAATGTCTTAATGTTTCCTCGGAGCTTGTATCTGTGAACGATCATGGAGCTTAGCGACGGAGTTGGATTGAAAAGACTGCAATTAACCACCAAGATCCCGATGTTTTTCGGATTGATTTTCGTCGAATTGAAAAGATTGTCAAGAGCTCCAAACATCACCTCCTCTGCTTCTTCTCTAGCAGTTGCCATCGATGGTACAGCCGGGATGGCATGCAGCGCCGCCGGGAGGTAAGTTTCCTCTCCGAGACCGGAACGTTCAAGAATCTTACGTTGAAACTCAAGCGACGACTCATTGAAGGCACCGTGAAGTTTCGAATGGTCCATAAACACATGGTATGGGACTTTCAGGTGGTCCGGCGGTCGGTAGCAAGAATAGTCAACGAGATAAACGGGTGTGGGTCGGGTCGTACGGTAGGCTGTGAACCCGAACACGGCCGTACAAGTCACGGCGAAGACGGCGAAGAGGTGGTATTGCAGGTGAGCGTAGAGGTTCTTGACATCTTCAAGATTCAGTTGGGTGACGTGGACGGCGGTGACGACAATGAGAGGGAGGAGAGAAAGAGTGAAAAGATTGGTAATCAAGTAATGGTAGCCTAATTTAACGTACTTCAGTTTGACACTCGCCTGAAAATCTGGCAGTGGTTGTTCGATTTGAATCGTGGCGGAGGGAGGGTGGGAGGCGGTAGCCATATGTCGGAGATGGTAACAGTGTTATGGAGTGTGGTGATGGAAGCAAAGAGTTATATACAGCAAAAAATATATATTTATTGTGGTTTCAGAGGTAGATGTAACCATCAATGGTCTGTCTTACCATATATTTTGATTCTGGGCAACTTGTCAAAGCTACTTTCCTTCTTTAATCTCCATTCTTCTCTCGAAAATACCTGACGTTGATTATTTTCATCAAATAAAAAATGTCATTTCCCCTATTTTCCAATTTGTAACCGATTTGAATGATCTAAAGGTGAATCCGGAAAAAAAATAAAAATATCCGTTACTATTGTTTTTGTTTAGAAATATTAACTTTCCAGCTTGAATTTATTAGAAAGTAACGTTTACTCACCCACTTTTTTTATTTCTTCACCAAATCCTCTGTGCTTCTCGTCCTGCTTCATTCAATTTAGCATTTGATGTTGAATATTATGTGTTTGTATCTGCACGTGAATTTTATATTCTCTCAAGCTCTTCAAAGAAACTATGAAGGCATATTGAATGTTATATCATTGATGAAATCAACAAAGCTACAATTGAAATGTTTTAGAGTTGGTTTGTTTGGTTCACGTTTGAAGAATATCTATATATCTTGTGGGGGAAAACATTAATTTGAGATGATTAACATTGTGGGAGATTATATTAATTAAAACAACAAAGATAAAAATACTAATATTGTACGAGCTTGAAGGTATTGATTTTCAAAAATGTTAGAAATCCAACTCAATCTCATTTTTAACTAAAAAACGTATATAAAAATTATATCAATATTAATCTCATTTTATAGAAAAAATAAATAAATCATGTATTTCAGAGTATTTTTTTTTTTTTTTGATAAAAGATAAAACATATTTCTTTCAAAATTACTGTTGGTTTATAAAAGCTAATTTAATTCCACATTCAAAGGAGGACAGGTGGATAATGAAAGGGTCATGAAGTGGGTTAGTTGAGGTTGTGGACTTGTGGGCAAGAGCAGATCGTGGGCTCTCCCATTTTTTTGCACGAGAATTTTATATTCTCCGCTCTTCAAAAAAACTACGAAGACATATTGAATGTTATATCATTTATGAAATCAACAAAGTCACAATTGAAACGCTATAGAGTTGGTTTGTTTGGTTCATGTTTGAAGAATATCTCTATATCTAGTGGGGAGAAACATTAATTTGAGATGATTAACATGGAGGAAGATTATATTAATTTAAAAAAAGAACAAAGGTAAAATACTAATATTGTTTATAGGACCTAGTAAACACGAGCTTAAAGGTATTTGTAACATCCTAAAATTTAAAACTTGGTTGTTAAATTACTAAAGTAAATAAATGAAAATTGATTTATTTAGTTAATTCATCAAAGATTAATCATATCATGAATTGATATGAAGTTAAGAAAGCTAGAAGTGAAAATAATAACATTTTAAAAGTTTAAGGGTTATTTGTGACAATCGGGTGAAACTTAGGTTTGACTAGAGATTTGACCAACTTAATAACTTGGACTAAGTTTGTGAAGATTAGGATGGAGAAGGACTATTTTGGAAATTTATTAAAGCTTATAAGTTAGTTTGTAGTTATCTTGAAAGATCTTTTGCAAGGAGGGACCAAAAGTGGCAAGGTGGGAAAGTTCAAAGGTAGTTAATAGGTCTTATCTCTCATTTGCTTGGGAAGAACATAAATGGAAGAAAGGAAGAGGGAAATGGCGATTTTTGATTCTCAAGAACTCCTAGGGTTAATTCATGCGAAGTCCCACAAAGCACAAAGCAAACAACATTCAGACAATGGAAAATCTAACTAACATAATCCAATCAAACCATTTTATCCTCTAATCAGGAATCTGTACTAACATGCAATTTGAAGGCTCATACAATCAGGCATAACCTAAACAGGCTATCCTACCACCGGTTGATCAATTCTAACATGCAAATCTATAAGCTCATAAAAGCATACAAGACATTTCTCCTAGATCCTAAGTTCTAATCTAGCATGCGAATCATATAACCATAACATAAACGCATAAAGGTAATTTGGGAGAACTTACTTGAGCTCGGCTGATTGCATGTACCACTCCCTTTTCTCTTTTTAAAATTCTTTTTAAAAAAACTAGTTTTCTTTTGAAAATCTTTATACCAAGTCCTCAGTTTGAGTTCTGACACACCTCAGAGTGTATCCGAATCCCTCAAACCAAGACTCTGATACCAGCTTGAAACATCCCAAAAATACGGTCCAAAAATTTCGTTTTAAATATTTAATAAAACCATAGTTAACAATTCATCACATAAAAATCATAAATCATGTATCTCAAAATATCACAAACATCTGTCAAACATATCAGAGTAAAAACATCACAGGCTAAACAAATGGTGTGTGCACTGCAGTTATCCCGAGCTCTTCCCCTGGGATCTGCCCCTTCCTCGGGCCCCCGCATCTTCCTCGGGCCCCGCCCGACATCGGACAGAGTCCCACATCAGGCCTTGCTCGGTATACAAATTTGTTTCTCCCAGGCCCCACCTGTCACTAGGCCCCGCCCGCTATACATATACAAACAATAACATATAATCATGTTAGTACATAAAGAATCATACACAGTACTATATATGTTGGATTAGTGTCTAAGTCCATAACTGTTTTGGTATGTACTTGACCCGATTATGAGCATGGTCCTTTTGGGTTGCCTTCACCATAGCAATATGTAGGATGATTTAAGGAGAGAAAGGTTTAAATATGATTTATTAATATATTATGAGAATAATATATTAAAGGAGAAATCATATTGTTTAATTAATATTGGTCAAGAATTAATTAAGAATTAATTTTGTGGTTAAAAGAGATTAATTAAACTTAGGGGACTGAAGTTGTAATTATAAGATAATTATAATTGGGCTATGGATCACCTAATAATATATAGGTTGAACGAATTCTATGGGAAGCCCATTAGAAATCGTCCAAGGGATATGTTTAAGGAGTCCATGGGCTGCTTAGGGCCTAAGCAGTCAAATTAGGGTTTCCTAGTTGTAAACCCTAATAGCCTACATGTATAAAAGGGACCCTTAAGCCCCAAAAACGTGACAACACTTCTATTAGGGTTTCCAGCCGTTTTTTGGTGCTCCTTTTCTTCTCCTCTTCATCCAAGTTGCATATGGTGTTTGTGACTCCATTAGAGGTACTACACTTGTGGTACTTGCTTTCAAGAGCTAAGGAAATTCAAGGAACTAGTTGTTATTGCTATATAACAACAAAAGGTATGTATTCTAGTTTTATATATGAATTTCGAAAATTATAGTAGCATGCCAGGTTTCTTTTTGTGTTCATAAAGCTGTATAACTAATAGTGAAAACATAGATCCAATACTAGGGTTGCATGCACACATAGGATTGTTTGTATAAACCCATCAGTGGTCAGAGCCATTGGTTTTTGTTTTCAATTAGCTTTTATTCAAATTTGTGAACTTGACATATTAGGGTTTATGGCTAATAAACCCTAAAGGCTAGGTAATTTTCGCAATTAGGGTTGCAAAACCCTGATGGCGATTTTTGCTAGGGTTTCCCAAATCCTTTCCTTAGCCTCCAAGATTTTGAAATCTAGGGTTATCCAACCCTTGGATTTCGAAATTACCTCCTTCCCCAAGGTTAGATCCTAAATTTTAGGGATTTGGATAATCCCATATCTTGTAATTATCTTTTAATTGTTAAATATGGTAATTAAAGATCTTGATTATCCCATCCCTTATTTTCGAAGATTTAGAGAGATTCAAGGGATTAGGATATCTTAGATGTATAATTGGTAATTATCTCATGATCTAGATAATCCCATTGTGATTTAATAATTTAAATTAATTGTTTAATTTATGGTAATTATTAATCAAGAGTTTTAATATTTAAAATTTTAATTTAAATGTCTTAAATTCGAAAATTTTAAGTGAATTAAAACCTAATTGTTTTGAAGAGTTTCAAAACTTGCCCTCAAGTTTTGGAATTTAAATTGTTGATTAAAAGTTAATTTTGAAAGTCTAAATTCCAAAACCCTGATTTTGAAAAGTTCAAATTAAACCCTTATGGTTTTATTAAATTAATTAAGTGTATAATTAAAAGAGATTTAATAAATCCATAATGATTTTGGTTAATTAAAAGTATAATTTAAACCACCTAGTATTTTAAAAGTGTAAAATACACCCTTATACAATATAACATTAAAAGTTTAATATTATATATGTATAACTAAAAATTCAGTCTTACCGTTAGTAGGCCTCATTCACGAAGCTAGTCTATAAGGGTGTTTAAGGAAATTGCCTATAAAATGGCGATTGAATGGTATCCACTCTTACCACCGCACTCTTGACTAG